ATTACCTTAGGTAGAATTGCCATTTTTACTATGTTGATCCTCCCAATCCAAGAGCAAGGGAGATCCATCCATTTTTTGGTATCCTCTTCAATTTCTTTCTTCAATGCCTTAAAGTTCTTGTCAAATAGATCTTTCACTTCCTTGGTTAGATTTACCCCAAGATATTTTATGCTGTTTGTGGCTATCGTGTGGATGGTGAAGCTTCTCTGATTTCCCTCTCTGCTTCCATATCCTTTGTGTATAAGAGGGCGACTGATTTTTTGGAGTTGATCTTGTATCCTGCCACATTACTAAAGCTGTTTATCAGCTGTAAAAGTTCTTTGGTGGAGTTTTGGGGGTCGCTTAAGTACACTATCATATCATCTGCGAATAACGAAAGTTTAACTTCTTCCTTTCCAATTCGAATCCCCTTGATCCCATTATGTTGTCTTATTGCTATTGCTAGAACTTGAAGCACTATATTGAAGAGGGGGGGGGGGTGGAATCCAGGAGCGCGCAGGAAGCCTGGCGCCAGAGCTGAAGGTGCCCAGCTCCCTTACAGGGGACCCTGAGGCCTGCCCGGTAGGCAGGCACTCACCACTCTGGGTGGGTCGCCTTAGTTTAGGAGCTTAAAACTGTACTTGAGCACTGGTCCTAGCATACAGCAGGGGAGGGTTGGGGAGGGGTGCTGGGGTTGCTGGGTCGTGCCTCAAGCCTATTTTTTGAATGGTTTATTTGTGAATTGTTTTTGCTTTTGTCTGTTTGTTTTTTGAGTTCTTTACATTTTTTTATGTTAATCCTCTGCCAGATGCAGAGCTGGCAAAGATTCTCTCTCATCCTGTGGGGGTACTCTTCATGTGATCATTTCTTTAGCTAAACAGAAACTATTTAGTTTTATGAGATTCTACTTTATAATTTTGTGAAGTCAGTTGTTGACCTCAATTTCTGGGCAATTGGAATCCTATTTGGAAAGTCCATTCCTACACTCATTTCACATAATATACTTCATATATTTTTTCTCTCGACATTTGAGTTTTCACATTAATTCTTTGTTGTATTTGGAGTTAGATTTTGTGAAAGACGAGAGACACAGGTCTCAGATCTTTCTTCTACATGGGCACATAATATTTTCCTTACACCATTTGTTGAAGATGCTGTCTTTTCTCCAGTGTATGTTTTGGACATTTCTTTAGAATGTTAGATGGATGTGGTTATGCACTCTCAGGTTGGATCTTCAGGGTATTTTTCCCCAATTGTCATCATGTCCAATTTTGTGTCATTACCATATTGTTTTCACTACCGGACTGTAATAACCTATTTGTATGTGTATTTGTTTGAACTTATTCTATTCTAATTGATAGTCATATCTGGTTATTCTTTTTCTATATTTGTGAAAATTTCAGCCTTTGTTTCTTTGGTTGTTTTTTGACACAAATAATTTTGATTTTCCTTTCATATGTTGCTTGATTATAACCCCAAAGTTCTCCAGTTATTGTCTTCTTTTTGCCTATGCTAGTCTAATTTTCCTGCTGTTTGAACTGCATTCATTCTATTGTTTTATCTTCAGGTTCAGCGATTTTTCTAATTTCCTGTAATTAGCGCGCCCAGTGAATTTTGTTTATCTATTTAGTTATTTTTATAACTTCAATTTGGCTCTTTAAAAAATAATTTCTTTGAGCTGAATATTGTTAGTTCCAGCTCTCATGCCAGCATTCAGAAGACAGGAACAAAACAACTTCAAGCTTAAAGTCAGCTTGAGCACTTTGTCAAAAAACAAACTTGCCAATAAAAAAGTCATTTATTTGCTGTGGTGTTTTAATTTTCTCTCATATTTAAATGTAATTTGTAATTGCTTGTCAAAACAGTTTTTATGGGTGCTTTAAAATCCTTGTTAAGCAATTCCAATAATTGATTCATTTAACTGGTAGTGCCTGTTGATTGCCTTGTTTTCATTAATCTGATTTTCTTGATTCTTGTTATCAAAGATGTTTATAATATCTGATTATTTTTTCCAGGAGACTCAGAGTCTTACTAAAATCTTCCATTTTATCAGGCAGTTGTCTGTGTTAACATACATGCCTTCTTTGTAGATGTCAGTTTGAAAGACTAATTTTCTATATCCTGGGAACATACATTATTGCGTCTATATTCTTTTGGGAGGTACTACTGGGTCTTGCATTACTCTGCTAGACTACCTGATGATTGCAATGATGTCTTCTTAGAATTTTCTCTATTTGTCTCATATTCTCATATTCAGGAATCTCATAAAATCTTTTAACCGAAAGCCATAATATATATGCAAAGACCTGTAGGGTAAAGAGAAAGCAAAAATATATAAATAAAGTAAAAATGAAAGTAAAAAATAAGATAAACTTTTAAAAAGGGAAAACCCTGACCTGGCATTATGAAATGAGAAATGTCCAAGGATACCATTGAGTTCATTTTTTATCAGCCATCTACTGCTGGGGGTACAGGCTACCCTTAAGAGTTGTTTGTTTCTCCAGTGACACTCACTTGGAGAAAACTAAATTTTCATTTGTAAGTGGCTATCAAATGAAAACAGTTTCTGAAATAGGTAGGAATGGGTACATTTGTCCCCTTCTCTTTTCAACTCAAGGGTAATATCTGGGCGGACTCATGTAGGACTTGTGTATGCTGCCTTAGTCTCTGTAAGTTCATGAGTGCTTTTGATCATGTTGATTTAGAGGGCCTTGTTTTCTTCATGTCCTCCATCCCCTCTGGCTCTTACACTCTTTCCAACTCCTCTTCTTCAGGGTTCCCCGATCCCTGAGAGGAAGGATTTGATGGAGGCATCCCATTTAAGGATGAGGGTTCCAAAATCACTGTCTGAGTAATGTTTGGCTTTAGGTTTCTATATTTTTCCCATCTGCTGCAGCTGCACAAAGAAGCTTCTCTGATGATAACTGAAGAAGACACTGATCTATGAGTATAGAAATTGTCATTAGGAGTCGTTTTATTGCTACTCCTTTATTTAGGACAGCAGTATTTGGTCTTATCCTAGGTCACTGAGATATCTAGTCTCAGGCTTTTGGTCCCGCAAGCAGTGTTGGATATGGCTTCTCTCTCATGGAGTAGACCTTATATCAAATCAGTTATGATTGGTTACTCCCACAAGCTTTCTGCCACCATGGTCCTAGCATGTTTTGTAGGCAGGTGACCATTGTAGATCAAAGAGTTTATTCTTGGGTTAGTGTTTATGCTTCTCGTTTGTTTGTGTGCAGAGTACCATCTGGTACCAAGAACACTAGTCCGCATAGGTGAAGCATCTAGGTAGGCAACTACTTGAATTCTCTGTCTTTAGTGAGTTGCGTAGGTTGTTGTCTTCAAAAATGGACACTTGAGGTCAGTTTGTGTAGAGTAACCTATACTCTTTGCAACAACCCGAGTTATTTGGGCATTCCCATGGGACCACATTGGCCAACAACTCAATTAGATATAACCCATTGCTTGGACTGATGGCGTCCACATTTTTGATAAGAAATGTCCAGTTGGGGTTCTGTCTCCCCCATTATTTGACAAATTCATTTAGAGTGCCTTCATATATGTGCATACTTTTGGAAATGTCTACTGCATCAAGTTTCCATACTAGTCCTAAAATGACCCTTAATTTTAGTTTTTTCCGTATATTCCCTCTCTCATCTCCCTTTTTCCTCCCCCAGCCTACTTGATCATCCTATTCCAGTATTCCCACCTGTCCATAACTATCTATTCTAGTTCTTTTCTCTAGAGATGTCTATTCATCCCCTCTTTGGATTGTAACTTTATTATAATTGACTTAACTATTGGCATCAACATATAATGCATGCCATATTTGTCTTTTCTAGGGCCGATATTTTTTTCTGGTTCTATCCATTTACCTACTGATTCATTTTGTAACAGGAAAATAATGTTCCATTTATTCATCTGCTAAAGGACATCTAGGCTGTTTCTAATTTCTGGCTATTATTAATAGAACAGCAATGGGCACTGTTGAGCAAGTGTCTCTGTAGTATGATATAGCATCCTTTGGGTATATGTCCAAGAGTTGTATGGCGAGATCTTGAGGTAGACTGATTCCCGTATTTTTAAGGAACCACTAGACTGATTTCCAGAGAAGGAGAGCTAGAATAATCTTTACAGTATGTCTATTACAATCTCTTCAAGTTCTCAGTTATCTTATGCGCAGAAAAAATAGGTTGGGAATAATATTAATAGCATCATTGCATTGATACCTAACTTGAAGTAAAAGCCAGAATAAATCACTTATCCAGTGAATATTAAAACATTTTTATTATACAAGAGTAAGATGTAATTTTTCATCATTATCCAGCATTTACTAATATGTGTTTTACCTGTGAAAGTTAATCAAAAAGATAGGTACTATCTTTTATGTCAGATATTTGCTAGTACCCGTCTTTTGACATACTGTAAAATTGTGCTTTCTTGTACTTTTTATACTTAATAATGATCAGTTGATTTGTGTGTCCTGTGCTGTATGATAAAAGCAAAGTGTATTATTTCTGAGGACAAAATGTTCTCTTTTACCCGATGCTTCAGTCATGGTAGCACAAAAATGAAACCTTTCATGTATGCTCCATTGTGGCTAATGCAGGTCAGAACCCTCATTAAATCTCTAATAGACCGAGGGTGAGTAAGCCTAGTCTACAGAGCAAGTTCCAGGACAGCCAAGAATAGCTATGGCTACACAGAAAAACCCTGGCTCAAACAAACAAACACAAGAGAAATAACCTTTTGTTTTCACATAGCTAAAGTTTTCAGGTTCTTTTCCATAGTGTGATCTTGTTTGTTTTAATTGATGCACTTGGCTTTACTTCATTTTATATCACTATGCTGGTTATTTCCATTTCAATTTTCCATGTTGGTTACAACCTAGAAAATTGGTTCAGTGACCACTTAATATGGAGGGAACTTGTAGTTTGAAAAATATTGCTTTATACTATATTCATTTGAGTCCTAGCAGATACCCTCTTAGAGCTTTTCTTAATACTCCTATATTTCAGGATTGTGGTTATGGAGAAGGTGGAGATGCATACTGCACAGCCTGCCCTCCCCGAAAATATAAAAGCACATGGGGGCATCACAGGTGTCAGACTTGCATCACCTGCGCTGTCATCAATCGGGTCCAGAAAGCCAACTGCACGAATACCTCTAATGCTATCTGCGGAGACTGTATGCCCAGGTATGCCATTAAATGATATCAGTCTTTCTGGAACTTTTTAAAGCTATTTGATGTCGCTTATCATCCTACCACTTAGACCCTAGTAGAAGTATTCTAACTACCCATGTCATGATCTATTTAAGCTCTATGAATGGGAAGCCATATATTCCTAACTATATCCCTATATATAAAATACCTGGCAAATTATCAAACACAGATGAGTGCTTAAAAGCTTTCTAATCTCTCTGATAGTCTAAAATTTAAAGTAAAAATGTTGCTAGACAGATTGCACAGAAATCATGAAGAAGTTGGTCTCATGACTGTTAACTCCCCTTTTGGCTATAGAATGTGATGGCTTAAGAAAATGGTGCACTGAATCACACATGTCAGAGATCCCACAAGGGTAGGTACTGCGTCCCATGCAGGAAACATGAGGGAAAGACTCTTAGATATTCCCCACAACCTCAAGAAGGACTGTTACAAGTCAATTGCTCGTTTCATCCCTCCACATTCCTTTCTGCTCTGATCACAGGTTCTACCGAAAGACGCGCATCGGGGGCCTGCAGGACCAAGAATGCATCCCGTGTACAAAGCAGACTCCTTCTTCTGAGGTTCAGTGTGTGTATCTATTTTTCTCTGCTGTCTTCCCCCCAAACCTCTGTGTGTCAATGAAGTCAATAGACTTCTTTATTCCTGTAGAAGGAAAATACTCCTTAGTACTCCTTCTATTGCATTGTTGGTAAAGGCAGTCGCCCATGACTAAACCTCAACTTTGCAGCATTCAAACTGATTAAACATCATTTATTTCCCTTGTTTTGAAAATTGAATCTAAATGAGGAAATATTTTTATTCATGCTTTGTGAGCTACTTGGCTGGGTTTGGTGGCATAATGAATGTTATAATGTACTTTACATATAATAGCATTTCTACACTTATTAATTGCGATTATAGTCAATATTGCTATTAGAGTCGATACACATGGTATAAGGAAGTCCTTAGGTTTTAGACCACATTAATATCTGAAAAAATAACTAGAATATCGTCTATATCCATGTCACTTGTCATTTACTTGTTTGTCTGACTTCTATAATTTTTGTCTGTCTTCTAATATAGTCTTTAAAGTATTGGTGTATCTCTAACAATCCCTAAAAATCATGATAAATAAAACAGAATTTGCTAAATACACATAAGTATAGAAATATAAAGTCCTAAATTAGCTGAGATTCCTAGATAATAAATCTTATTTTTTAAATATTTCCTTCAGCGTTTTAAAAGAACAGATATAATAACCTTCCCCTTTCGATCCTTTCTGAGTCCTCTTCATTCCTTCCCTCCACAGAAACAACCACTGTCGTGAAATTTTAAGCAGCTTTTTACCAGACTATCCTATGGCAATTAACAAATCCAATGTTTCCTTTCATAAGGCCAAAGCCTTCTTGTATCATGTGCCTATGATTGCTAGACTAGGTAGTGCCCAGTTCCTTGTCACAGAATGAAATGATTGAGATGTATCAGCTCTTTACTGACTCAGTCTAGAAATGCCATGCATTGTTTACACTCAAGGTGCATTGGCTACAAGTATGTTGATGTTTTTGCTGTAAGGGTGTAAAGAACATGAAGAGTGTGTTGTTAATTCATGGGCATATTCCTCTGCTACCTTCTCCACTACTGTTTAAATATTTTTATTACATTCTGTATATTCATATTCTTAGACAATAGTGCTAGTATTTTGTATTTTACAACATTTTTCTATAAAGGTCATCAAGCTATTCTTCACTTCGTTTTTCTCCACTGGGTTATTTATATTAACCAACAAAAGGTCTTTTATGACGTCTTAGGGGCTAAATCACGACTTGCTGATCTAGTATTTACTGATGAGCATTTTAATTTGTTTCTATTTTTTTAGGTTCTATTACTAAACATAGCATGAATGAACCACAACAGCAGTGTCTTTTGGTTAGTCATGCTAATTTATATCGTGCCTGCAGCATATGAGTTTTGCTTTTTCATTATGATCTTACCTAATTTCAGATAAGAACATAGCAGTCCTGATAGAGATGACCTAAAGGAGATGTAGCCTAAGGATCTTTAGGGCCCTTTTCCGACTCTTAACTGCCCACATTGACAGACTCTCCTATTCTTTTGTTGTGGTTCCACAGGTACCTTCCAGTTGAGTTTAGTGAAGGTAGATGCACACGCTGTTCCCGGTAAGGAAGCCACGCTTGTCGCACTGGTGGGCAGTCTGCTGGTAGTGTTTGCACTTGCCTTCCTTGGGCTCTTCTTCCTCTACTGCAAGCAGCTCTTTAATAGACATTGTCAATGTGGTAAGTGTGTCTGCTTAACATTTCCCATGAAACAAAATTAAGACACAATTTTTGGTAAAAGAGGAAGATTTTTGAGATTATAAGTCAAGGTGCCTTCCCTATCACATTAGAAAATCCCAGGCATCATGCTCTGTCATCATGTGGGAACTATCTGGCATAGCATCAAAAAATATGGAACATCAAAAGGGCTAGAGTTTACCTGGAAGTTTAGTAGACCAGTTTATTAGGCTTTAAGGGTTCGTGGAGAATCTCCCTTAATGGGAAATCACTTGGTAAAGAAACCCAGAGACCAATTATCTAACCTTTAAATCATAGTGTAACTCAAATTATATAGATTCTTTAGGTTTATTTATTTTTAATTTTCAAAATGATAGATGGAATGGAATAAGTTGTTTAAACTGTTTTCTCTATGTATGTATTAATAGATTCTGAAATATCAGAATTGGAGATTTAGATATACCTGAAACATGACTAATAAAAGTTAATGAGGTCTACAGTAAGTGCTGTCAATATAGGAGTTTCCCAAAACTGGATAACTGAAGGCATAGTGTTTAGTCAACATTCTTATGTTTTTCTGTCTTCCAAAATACTGCTGCTGAAGATCCGGCCAAAGCCATAGGAGATGGTGCATTAAAATCACGACAGATTGAGAACACTTTTACTTTTGTCAACTTCATCTATCAGTCAATGTAAGACAGAAAGTATAGTTCATCAGGGAGAGAATACAGAAGAGGTGGGATCATCAGGACTAAATAAGACATTAGAATCCCAGACACGAATACCAGTGTTCAATGCAGCTTTAGTGCAATTAACAGAAGCAAGAACTAAACAGGGACAATGAAAAATCTAACATAGCCTAATAAATAGACCTGTATTAGCAAAGGAAAGGATGGACTTTACTGGATACAAAAACTGTCAGGATTCAGTATCTAAATGGATACTGTAGCTGAAGCAGCACATTATTATAGCTGCATTCTGTTTGTGTTGGAAAATCCTTCTTAAATAGAACTTCCTTAGTCAGTTTGGCTCTAGAGTCTATCAGTGATTTACCTGTGCATACTCCATGTTTAAGCAAAGATGAATCTAGCATTTCATGAGATGTAGTTTTCCCCTCTTGATTCTCAATGACCCTTCTTCAGCTTTACTTCAGTCTCCTTAAAGCTCCTGTGGTAGCTCTGACAGTTTAGACAATGGTGGACCACTGGATCTCTGTCTCATTGACCATTCAGTCTTTGGAAGGTAGTGTGTAATGTAAGAATTCTTGCCCAGTACTGAAACATGGGTAATGAAGTGTTTGGGTCACAGGTCTCAGCAAGGTGAATGTGATGAGACATCTAAGACCTGCCTGTATCCCTGTTCTTCCCTTGGGAGAGAGAACCCCCTTTCTATACTATTGCAGTATCTCCTTGGAAACATAAGGACAGGTAGCGTCCTTATGATTTCCTTAGGAAAAAATGTGCTTATTAGTACTCACTCACTTACAGACATTCCATGGCTTTGTAAGGGAGGGCAACCTGATGTGAATTAAATCCAATGCAGATGCAGGAAAAAGGAATAGGATTGTGACATACTAGAAGGACCATCTCCTCTCTAATCAAGAATCCATTACTCAGCCACATCCATTTGCTACCACTGTGAAACCTTCCAATTTTCAAATAGTCCAGACATTTGTAATTTTGTATGAAATTTTCTTATGCACTCACGTAATTTGAACAAACTGTGGAAACGCGGTCACAGTGGGGAAACATAAAGACACAGCAACTCAGTTTGTAACCTAATATTGAGTCTGACTCATGCATGAATGATGAATTGCTTATCTTTATCATTGTTGTAACAAGTTGTCACATTTGATGGCTTGCCTCAGTTTCCACAGTTCGGAAGTTTAGCACGCTGTATGGAATCTTAACGAGGCCACAACCAAGAAATTGGCAGGACTGTGTTTCTTTCTGTCTGTCCGAGGGGAATCTGTTCCCTCATGAGTCTGTAGAACTGAAGTCTTATTTTCTTGGTGGCTGTGCGTAGAAGGTCACTCCCAGCTGCTAGAGCAGTGGTTCTCAGCCTGTGGGTCATGAACCCTCTGGGGGTCAAATGATGCTTTTACAGGGGTTGCCTAAGGCCATCAGAAAACACAGCTATTTATAATTCAAAGCAGTAGCAAAATTGTACTTTTAAAGTGGCAATGTGAAGAACTGTATTAAAGGGTTGAAGCATTAAGAAGGGTGATAACCACTGCTCTAGAGGCTGCTCATATGTTTTGGCTCATGGCTCTCTTCTTTGTCTAAAACGAGCAATGGTATAATGAAGTTGTTTAGAGAGATGTTATGCCACATCTTTCTATATTAATGCTCGGTGTCATTTCTGCCTTCTGACACTTATCAGGATGCATCTAGCAACCTAGAGAAATGGAACTAAATTAAAATGTTCATCATTAATCACAGAATAAAAAAATCATGATTTATCTTAAGGATTTTCTGAACTCATATGCATAATTCAAGATAATCTTCCTATTTTAACATCCACTACCATAATTCTGATTGCATGGTTCCTTTCCCATGTAATATACCCAGATCATGGAAGAAAGAAGCACATTAAAATACCTTTCCTACAAAGCGTTTATCTCTAGCTGAAGAAATTTGTCTTCCCTAATCCAGCATCTAAAAGACTTAATGTAATACCCCAAGGAAAGCATGTCTCTGAAATGTGTCATTTTCACCTACTTCTAGATGCTCTGGTCCTTCAGGAAGAAAGAGGGAGTCTGGCTCCTAGACCCCCTCACCCCTCCTATAGTTGGTGCTCAGGAAGAGATACCCTGTTGAGAAGAGACCCTGATTTGAGGAGGGGTGACTCAGTGGCTTTCTGCTTTGAGTTGCAGGAGGTTCGTTGCAATATGAAGCTGAAAAGGCAGTGGAGGAGGATTCTCTTTTCCCCATACCACCTGGCCAGGAGACCAGTCCTGAATTTCCAGTGAATGAGATCAAGCCACTCAGCTCCATCTTGGATGACGACTGCAGTTCCACACGTGGCTTCCCCACCCAGGAGTCCTTTACCATGGCCTCCTGCGCCTCAGAGAGCCACTCTAAATGGGTCCATACCCCCATTGAATGTACAGAGCTGGACCTGCAAAAGTTTTCCAGCTCTGTGCCCTGTACTGGAGCTGGAACCCTGAGGGAGAACACAGTTGAAAGCTCCGGAGACAGCCCGGAGCTCCGAGTACCTTTTCAAGTTCCCAGCCTTTGACTCTACTGAGGTGAGCTAGAAAAATGTGGTTAAAAGACCAGGAGGTGTGGGCCACTCTCAACAATTTTCCAGCCCCAGTTCTATTGTCTGATAGGGCTTGGGTGGAAGAATGGCAGGAAATGAGGCTGGTAGAGGTTGGAGAGGCAACAGTTGTGGCACTAAGTCTTTGAGCTAATTTTACATCAGATTTGGAAGCCAACAATTGTCTGGAGACCTGGCAGGCTGGCGTGATGCCAGCTTCTTCATCTGGACCCTACTCTTGACTAGTCATATTGTTTACTCCTTTCGTTTGTATAAACACAACACCATCATACAAATATGCAACTCTGTATTCAGATGAACCCTGGTTCCTGAACAGCCTTATGATCTTGAGGAAATCATTTTACCTCAGACAGTCTTCTGCTCATGAGTTAGTGTGAGGATTGAATGACAACATACGCAAGTGTCCTTTATAATGTCTTCATGAGAGGTGTTTGTACCATGATGGCATTTCCTTCCTTTCCCTGTGTTCTGTCACCAATTACAAATTCCTTCTATATCCACTACATTTTTTTCTGAACTTCGTAACTTCATACCTTTGAGGTAGGCAAATGAGAAATATGCTAATCTCGTTTTAAATAGGCAGAAACTGAGCCACAGAGATGAGAAGCGGTTTGCTTAAAGACAGAGTAATCCATTCTCAGAACTAGGCTAGAGCCCAGGATTCGCAGCTCCATTACAGAGTTCATCTAACTCCATCATTGGATTTTGAAATCTATGTGTATGTTACCTCAATATATGTCACATATACGTATGTTGTATGCATGTATATGTACATGTGTGTGTATAAAAACATCATGGATAAAAAAACAGAACATACACAAAATTCATTTGTGCTTCATGTGCACTTTGCATACATAACCTGAAGGTACTTTCATGTGTTATTAGTACAAACTCATGTGTAAGCAAGTGTGCAATTTTTCACTTATGGTATCATGTCAAATAGGAATAAAATTTTGAGTATTTTGGATTTTGAATCTTTGAATTTTGCCCTAAGGACACCCAATCTATTTCTTCGTCTAGAGGTTATGTAGTTCTTGTTCAAATATTCTAGTGAAAAGAGCTCACAGCTGCCCAATGTGTATTACACTTACAACTGACAAACTGGAGCTCAATATAAAAAGCATAATTGTATCTTGTACTCACTTATGGGTTCTAGTTCTTTCCCTGGGTCACACATCTGACTTCTCTGCCATATCAACCACTTTGGGTTTTTATTAAGTACATGGTACTAAAACTTAACCCAGTTTCAAGAAAAAATGTTTTTTCTAGTTTGAAATAGGATAGATTTGTTATCTCCATGGCTAGGTGAGAGATTTCAGCTATTGTGCCCTAAATCACTGGTCCAAACACGAACTTTTAGAGAAAAGAAAGAGGAGGGTGGTGATTACACAGCATCACAGGATTCTAACTACTCCGCTCTTTTTCTAGGTCTCTTTCACTCTTGGCAACCTTGCCAGTGATTGTTCCTGGACTTTCCTGCTCTACTTCTATTCAACAGCTGTAGCATGGGCCTGGGGTATAGGCCCCACAATAATCAGTACTCTAAAAACGGGGTACACAGGGCCCATCCTACAAGAGAATTAAATCCCCACCATTTTCCCAAGACTGGCCTTGAACATTTTTTTGTTTTCTTCTTTTAGTCTGGGGACTCAGAATTCATAGCCATGAAAATGGCTATGGGCCAGTTAATTAATTATAGAGGTGGGGGGAATAACAACAAACAAGGTCAAATTTTCCTGCCTGTATATTTTTTCTTCTTATATTTTTTGACAGGTAGATCTGAGAAAGGGTTTTACAGAATTCTGTTGACATCTATATACCACTTTAGAGAGAAAAATAAAGTGCTTTTCAATTTAGCTTTCTGCTTTGACTCTCTCCCCTAATACACACACACACACACACACACACACACACACACACACACACACACACACACACACTCATGCATACACATAAAATGGAAGGATATATATATATATATATATATATATATATATATAGAGAGAGAGAGAGAGAGAGAGAGAGAGAGAGAGAGATCATGGGGGAGGCATGAACACACATACACACACACAGAAAATGCATACACACACACACAGAGAGAGAATGTCGGAGAATATATAAAAAGAGATATGATTGAGGTCTGAAGCCTTAATTTTACAATTCATGTCCTAGATTTCTGTACCTGTGATTGCTCTGAAGTCAGAGTTTGCTAGAGTCTGCATTCTCAAAGATTAGGCTGCCAATAGTCTCTGCTAGGATTCAAATTAGTGTCTTTTAGATTTTAAAATTACCTTTTTCTTAAATGTCTTTCCATTTTTATTACTCTAATATTCTTACCCTTTTCCCTCCCAGTCCGGTCTTGACTGTCAAGTTTCTGAGGAGAAGGAGTAGAGCAGTAAGGAGCAAAGGGGACCATTTGGTGCTTTCTTGGCTTAGAGAATAGTCAGTCCATTTCTCTTAAGCTTAAACCTCCAGTTTCACATGCTTCTCAGTATGAACTGAAGCCTTTTCCTTCATGACCTTTCTGTGGAACATGGCAGATGTGACCCTCAGGACTTAGATGTGAGCATCCCATACTGGTTATAAGTATCACCTTATTCCAAAAAGAGCCACTAGTTTTCATGCCTTTTCCCTCCTGGTGGTTCAGGTTTAGATGGGGGAAAGCGGTCAAGTGAGTACAGAATCTGGATCTTTTTGCTTGGGAGTTTTATATACACTCCACAATGCTGATGTGACTTAATTTATTACAAAAACTTAAAGATAAGCACAATCATTTTGGTCAAAGATGCTAAGATTTACTTCACATATGGTGCTTCCCTTTCTGTTATTCACATCAGAGCTGTCATCTCCGTAGTTCATTATACAGGCTTTGATAAAGGCAGTGAAGGGGTTACTCAGTGAAATAGGAGTGCATAACAAGGCTTGAATGTATTCAGTCTTTTCTCCTCATTGGAAGCTTCCTGATGGGTTTTCAAAGGTACAAGAATAGGGCTTGGATGCATGCAAGTAGTCTCTTAATATAAAGGAAGCAGAAGTACCAGCATTTTGAAGCAGATCTGCAGTGCACTGCAAGACTCTTTCTCAAAATCCCAAGGGATAGGGATTTAGTTAGTGATGAAGTACTTGCCTTTAGCATGAACAAGGACCTAGATTCCATCCTAGCAAACAGAAGAAAGAGATTGGTGGAGGAAAGAAGGAAAATATTGTAGTAAAGAAGAAACAAAAACATTTTTGCCACCAAATAATTCAATAGATCCCAGAATCTGCTAGTGCTACAGGAACTGTAGTGGAATTTTCCATTGGAAAATGTTACATGAGCTCATCTTAGGACCTTTTCTTGCTTTTCCTACCACTAACTTTTAAATACAGTTTATAAGATTTTTTGACTTAATTCTTGGGTCCTTGGACTCATAGGATTCTGTGAGTCTGCCAGAAGGTCCAGCGGATAGTCAAAGAGCAATGGTCCTGAATTGAACCATTTAACACAGAAAGGAAGTTTCATATGGGTCTCCTGGGCCTTATCTATTTGAAATTCTATATCTCTCTAGCCCTAGCAGGAATTCAGACTGAAGTTTAATCTTTCAGGACTCTACAGAATATTTTTGAGTCAGTTTTTCCCTTTTTGATGTCTGGGCTTTCAATACAAGCATCCAGAAGGTGCTTCAATACAATTTCAATACAATAACCCCAACATATTTAGGGTTAGTTAAGTGAAAATGGGAAAGATGCCCCAAGGTATGGATGGGTATTGCTTTTGACATGTCAGTTTGATACCTAGTGTGCTGTCCATTTGGTTCTTTTTAAAGGTTCATTTTGCCTTTAGTTCTTCTCTATTCGTTTCATGAACAGAGAGAAACAAGATTTTCTGTGGAGATTATATTATTATTTATTATCTCAAAATCTTTCTGAATCTTTTATAGCTAGTTTCTATTCCTAAAGTGCTTGGTGGTTAAAGGAAAACATGAACTTCACCACCAGGTCTTACCACTAACAGAGAGTATTCTCTACAAGATTTCTGTTTTGAAGATTCTGTTAAGTATATCTTTATTAACAACTCATCCATAACCACTGATTAAGGGCCTTAAGGTCAAACCACTGATAAGTGTGTTAAAAGCATGGGAGAAAAATGCTAAAAGGTCCCATTGTACTCGGCAGGGGATTAGAAGCAATGACTCACAAAACTGCACCAGGCAACCTGGTCTGATGTAAGCATTAGCAAATACGTGTGAGCCAAGGTTTAGGCCTTGGTCTTTGGGCACTCTGTACTTTTTTTCTGGGACAGTTTATTCTTATCTCGCTAACTTTAATTAGTCATATCTATACTTCTGATGGAGAAGAACTAACACCCAGTCTAAGGTAGACTGAACTTAAGTAGTTTCCAACTGTCGAAAGGTCACCATGTGCCTGGCACTGCTTCAAACTCAAGTTGGTCACTGCTTCTCAGTGAGAAGGATTGTGATGATAGCACAGCAAAAATGATGTGATTGAATGACCGAGGCATCCCACCACACTGTGCTTTTACAGAGCAAGGCCATTAGCCAGTATATGTATATGTATATATCATACTAAGAACCGTCTTGGTTCCAATTTTCTTAAATTTAACAGTTGGAGTTGGTAATTAGAATATGGAGAAGTTTTGTTTTTATTTGATCTCTAAGGTATCTCGGGTAAAAGGGAAGGGTGCTTTTTTTTCTTTATAATTGATATTTGGCCATGGCCAAATAAATAGTTGCATGTTTGCTCAAGAAGTGTCCTTATAAAGTGGGACAACTTTGAGTACTTTGCTTTTATGTGTCTTCTACTTGGGAGTATAAGTCAGTCGAAGACTTTATTAAACATGTATTCAACATAACTCTGAGCCTAGAAAGTATTCTAGTTTTACATATTTGATCTGGAAAAAGAAAGCTGATTTTTGTTTACATGGCAGAAGTAGGTGTTTAATGGAGGTGAGTCAGGTTTCAGTATTCAATTTTTTCCTCCATTTACAGTTTCACTGGAATTTTGAAAGGATGTAAGTAGTATGGAAGGTCAACTTTCTTCCTTAAGGGTCTTAATATTAGGTTAAGTAAAAATGTCAGTACTATACCACTCTCCCCAACAAACAGCCCTGCCACACTGAGATGTCACCCTCATACACCCCTCTCAATTTATTACCAAGGTCTTTGGTATTTTGTGTTTAATGTAGGTAGATTTTAATTATTGTTTTCCTTAAATGAGCTATTTATAAAGATTTTGTCAAATCTTGAGCCATATGCATGTGTGGATACCGACAAGTTGTGTTTGGATTATGAAAATCTGCAAACAATTCATATGAATCAATAAACAGATGTACATTCAAATATCTTGTTTATTCCTCTGCTTTCAGGGAACTGTGGTGACTCATTTGGTTGTTTTCTGTGTCTGCTCAGTCAGTACAGGAAGAAATGTGTTTCTAATCATTGGGTGTAGCACCAGGGCTATGGAGATTCTGACTTGTAACTCAGGAGATCTGAGTTATAGTCTAAATTATCCTGCTTTTGAATTGTTTATGACATTTATAGTCTTGTCTGACTACAGATCTACAAGACAATTTTATGTTCTAAACTTATAATTCTTAAGAAGGTTTAGATATTCTTCAGACTGCATGAATATATTTGGAGGAAAGAACGAAATTCCTATTTGGTCACACTGTTTTAAAAATAGGGAAAAACACACATCACACACACACACACACACACACACACACACACACACACACACACACAAACTACACCATCAGTAAGATTGCCTCTTGAGAGCATTACCTCCCATTGTTTGGACTGTATTTTTGTTTACAATGTTATTTGTTTCAAGGGACTGCTAAAGGACAAACATTTGATTTGAAATGTTCTTCACTCCTATAATTTTATTTTAAACCAGAACAATTAAATTTCTTCCTATCTCAAATATTGTCTAATCCTAATAAAATATATACTGACAAGGATGTGAAAAAAAGGAGAAAATCCATACATTGTTGGTGGGATTGGAAAATGGTATGACCATTTGAAACAGTCTGGTGGTTCCTGTAAAAGTTACAGCTTCAGTTGTCATATATTCAATAATTCTACTCATCTATATATTCTGAAGGTAATTAAAAACTTGTACACATAATACCTTGACTAAACACTTTTATAAACATTGTTCATAATATTCAAACAATCCAAATTTCATAAATTGATGAATGAATAAACAAATTGTAATACAACATGTTATTAAACAACAATTAACTTAAATTCTTATAGATGACATGCCAGAGTTCAATCTCAAATTATACAACGTGAAAGGATCCAGGTACCAGAAAGCACATGTTACATAGTTACATTTATATTAAATGTTTGTGCAGTGTAAACTAGTGGTGACAGAAGGTAAATTATTGGTCTCTTGGTAACGGGTACAAGAGAAACAACTAAATGTTAATAGTCATATATGATCTTATCTAGAAGATAAAAATGCTATGGTGGTAGCTGTTCTTCTCAGGAAATTTATTTAAAGATGCAAACCAGCAGCCGTATGGTAATGGTGCACACACCTTTAATCCCAGGACACAGGACAAAGAGGCAGCTGGATCTTTGAGGTAGAAGCCAGCCTGATCTACAGAGCAAGTTCCAGGACAGCCAGGTCTACACAGAGAGACTCTGTCTTAATCCCCTCCCCCCAAATTGTGGAAGACACACTTGAAATGAATGAAGTTTATCATGTAAAATACTGTAAATTTAAGTACTTTCCATATATCTTCATTGTCAGGACTGAATCTGTTCTCTCTCTCTCTCTCTCTCTCTCTCCTTTCTCTTGGTCTCTCTTCCCTTCCCTTCCCCTTTTCT